TTGTTTAGCTTTCACCAGCTTAAGTGAAAGTCATGAAATGGTCTAAAAAAGTATTCATAACAGTTATTCCCAGAACAGACCAACTTGATGACCTTCCTAAAGAATAGTCTTCCTGGAATTTTCAGTATGAACATTTATTAAAACTTAATTTATGGCCTGAAAGCGATAAAATTATGTGTTGAGGACTAGTCATGCTTTATACTGTGTGTACTGTCTAATCACGTAAGAGGGTGGATTGATGAGTTTTAAGGGAATAAATTACTACATCTGCTAGATGCAATTAGAGTTTACAGTACGTTCCAAGTCTCTGTACAGACACCTTTAATTAATGGATTGAGTCTAATTATTTGTGCTTGGAGCTCAGTATTGTACCACAGGTGAAAAATAATTTGTTAAAGAAAAATACTAGATGATCTTATTTTCTGTGTTCTAATTAGATATGATTTGGGTACATCTGTAATATCTATTTTTTCCCCTCAATATTTTTCCTTACAATACCAGTGTGCTAGTACTCACTGATGATTCACTACAGGAAATTAATGTTTTTTAAAAAATGTATTATGAAAAAAAGTCATGAGTACAATCACATTAAGTTTTTTTTATGTAGTGGTTCACATATCAAGAAAAATCTATATTGTGTGAAACTGTTCAGGTATCTTCTTTCTGATATTCTGAATTGCATTATTTTTTCTTATTCAATAGAATATTGCTTTCTAGTATGACTCTAAGATGATTACTAATAGACTTGGAATTTCTGTAGCTGTTTTATTATCTCCAGAGGTGCATTCTTTTACATTACAAGTAGGCTTTAACTCAACATGCTTGATAAAGGGGCATGAATTCAATTCTGAAAGATTCCAAAACATTGATTGTATTACATTCAAACTAGTGTTGCTATTTTTTTTTAGATGAATGCTTAATATAACTATATAGAATGCATTGCTTTGACAGCTATGTCAGAGCAATGCGTTCCGTAGACATGCAAAGGTTAAGGATGGAGGAAAACTTGCTAAACCTGAATCTACTTATGAAAACAACCATTTTCACTACCAAGATCAGCAGCAGAATGGGAGTACATCTTGCCTGAAAAACTAAATATCCAAAGCTTCAGATGAAATGAACAGATAAAAATGTGCAAAACCAAGAATGCGTTCAGAAAGTGTGAATTACTAAAAGAACCACATTTTGAAAAACCATGTGTAAATTTTTTTTTCAGAGAATAATTTAAACATGTGTAAAATATTTATATTGATAAAGAAATGAATGCTAAAATTTTTATATGGGGGTGAGAATTCCCAAATATTCAAATAGTTTTATGTGGGAAGAAAGAAGTCTAGCCATATGATTGCAGAGGTGGAATGCGTTGAGAATAGCAACTAAAATTTTGAGAAACACAATGGAAATAACCAACAGATTTTGTGCATATGTATACCAAGTCTGTGCTGTGTCTTGCATTATCTCTTTATTGATGTGGCATTACACACAGTGGCAAGATTTGGCATTGGTCTTGTATATACTAATATGATGAAATATACTCCTTTTGCTGATGTTCAACATCATGTGCTTAGTGAAAATTTGTTTTAGGTTCCATTTCCTCTGACTGGGTAGAAATCATGCAAAATTGACATTGAGTCTGACATTATTTCCTTTCCCCCCTTCATTGTAACAGTACAGGTAGAACTTTTAAGTGGTTTAATTGGTAGACTAATCAATTAAAGCTTTAGTTGAAAGATGTGGTCTAATTTTTAAGTGATGGTGGAAAATTTTAATCAGTAAGACAAAAAAACCCAGGTTCATTTTAGTTCCACTGTGCTGTTCTAATACTGTACAGAATTTAAAAGAGAAGGTGGCTTTTCCTTGTAATGGTAGTGTGGTGTTCTTCCCATTTGGTAAACATATTGTTGCAATAGGGAACATCATATGGACTCTACCCATCCTTCTCCCCCTCCCAGTCATACATGGGACAACATGATCAGCTAACAGTTTGGGTGTTTCTGGTTTATCAGAAAATCTGGTTGACTGATTTTGGAGCAGACAGATGTATCCTTGGTTTCATCCAGCCAGGTGTCTATCTCCTCCCCCCCCCATTCTTATATGCTTAATTAAACATTTAATGAATATTAACTTTGATTCATCTTCTGTGAATATACAGATCTGCTCTGAAATACAGTATGTCCAGTTGAGGTCAAATGGATATAGGGTAGCAGGCTTAGAATGTGTATCAGAAATAAATGAGTATATGTGCACAAATTAATAATGCACCATCAAATAACCACGACTGATTATACAATCTGGTGTGTCCTGAATTAACAAGTACATTCTTTTAATTTATTGGCAAGTATGTTGACAGAGCCTTAATAAAACAGGATAGAACCATAGACAGAATGAAAATTAAATATTGTGAGCCAAGAATTCAAATAATGGGATCTCATCTATTATGTTGGCTTCTGAGAAACTATGCCAAATGACTTTGCCAACTTCAGAACTTCCTTTTTCCCATTACAGCTGGCTATCTAGTAACCATCAGTTATGGAAGTACTGTACCTATAAGATTCTCATGTATTATTTCAGATAGGATGATCTGAACAAGGGAAACGTGTAGGGTGTATTATCAACTAACATTGGCTGGGCTGAAAAGAGGAAATTCATGTGTTCTTCAAAAGTTGGATGTGCCTTTAAAAATAAAGCAGTAAGCCATCATCCCTTTCCCTGTTTTTGAATGTTTCTCCAGTTTCAAAACCAGCTTTCCATGTGTGATACAGAAAGCTGCTGTTTGATACAATTCCAAAGCCTCAATATGTGGAATTAGACATTATTTGAATCCTAGCCAGTATGTCCATTAAAGTGACAGTGCCATCCTACACATGTCTACTTTGAAGTCAGACAATCCACCGTTTCTAAAGCCTGCTTCACTCACTGTAGCCTGAGTAGGAGGTGTTAAGAATGTGGGATGTTGTTGTTTTATGTTTTCTTTCCAGTATTTTTCCTTGTTCAAAATTGTTCTCTACCACTGCCACCAATTGGAGGAAAAAAACTGAGTCTGATCGAGGGATGCATCACGGGTGGGATGGATGCTTCAGCACTCTTGTTGAGCCTCCTCCACATGGTAACATGGTTAATGGTAGATGATGTCCCAAAGGTGTCCTGGATGGATACGCTGTGCTATGACCATGAAAAGGGTACTTTCATGCTGTTGTAACCCTACCAGTTGGCTTTGATTTTAAGTCTAAGTGCTAATTGGCATTTTTGGACCAGCCAAAACCCCAGTGAAGATGGAAAGCCATTTATGTCTAAGAAGGTTTAGTGGATAGATCAGTGGCGGCGAACCTTTTGGGGCTTGTGTGCTGAAATTGGGGAGGGGGACAGGGTGGTGCACCGCCGGCGGTAGGAAGACTGGAACAGAAGTGGCTGTTTAAGGGGGAATCAGAAGTGGCGGGGGAAGCGGGAATCCTGGCTGTAGCCACCTCATGAGGTTTGGCTGCATGGGGTGGGTAGCGACCTATGGCTCGTGTGCCAGAAGAAAGGGCTCCATGTGCCTGCTGTGGCACGCATGCCATAGGTTCACCATCACTGGGATAGATGGTACACATGAATGCAGCATAATACAGCATGGCAAAAGGAGAAGCAAATATGCCCTCAAATACTAGATTTCCTCTAAGTCTTATATTCTCCCACTATGCATTAACAGGGATGCAAAGGTATACTACTACTACTACTACTACTATTACTACTACTACTACTACTACTACAACATAGAACTGTAGAGCTGTAAATGAACCTATGAATCATTAAGTTCAACATCTGTCAAGGAGGCACAGTGAGGAATTGAACTCCCAACCTCTGACTTCGCAGATAGATTCCTAAACCATTGAGCTATCCAACAGTTTGTATTATAATAACTGAGTGCTATCGAGTCAATTTTGAATTCTGGTGACCCATTTCAGGGTTTTCTAGGTAGAGAGTACTCAGAAGTGATGTATTATTCCCTTCTTCTGGGGGCGTCCTTGCCCATGGACATACACCTTGGCTCTTCTTGGATGCACAGTGGGGAATCAGTCCCCTAACCTCTGACTCCACAGCCAGAGACCTAACTCATTGAGCTAATCAGCCAGCACAAATAAAGCAAACTATTATAAATAGCCAGGGCTTGAAAAATGCACTCGTCTGTGATGAGTGAAAAATGCTGCTTGATGAGTCACAGCTCCCTCCCAATGCTGCTCGATAAGTCATAGCTTCCTGCCTGCCTCCTTCCCCTCTGCCTGTCTCTCTCTCTCTCTCTAATCCTGCAATCCTCCCCTCCCCCTCCTATTGCAAAAGGAAAACTGCCCTCTTCTTGTGAGAAGAGAGTTTGAGCGGTACATAGAGATATACGTAGCTCTGAAGGAGAATGTAGAGTAGTCCCATGCTGGAGAATATGGAAATTCCCTGCTCCCAATTTCAACCAAAGGATGACACATCCTGGGGTGGGAGGGAACCGTGGCTTCTTAAGAGGCTGGGCGCTTTTGCTTTTATTTTTATTTTTGCTGGAGACATTCAAAAGAAAATACAAACACTCAAAATACAAGCTTCATGACCCCACAGGCACACAGGTAATGAAGCAACCAATGTCTGAGGGTATAAATCAGTGATTCCCAATCCCAATAAATTGCAAGGCTATAGTCCAGTCATGCTGACTGGTGAAATTTTTGACAGACTGGTGAGACATTCTAAAAATTTTCAAGCCCTGTCAATAGCAAGCTATAGCTCCATCTGAGCTATATGAGGAACTCTCAACATAAGAACAAAGTTCACAAAGTGGAAGGATCCCAAGATAACCTACTGAGGTCCAACATGGCTTGGCATCCATGCAGTGCCAGCTTACAGATGTAGCCAAAAGAGGAGTACCTGGATGGTTGGTTGACTGGCTAGCTGGCCAGCATCCTAACCAGGAGCGTTTCACTTTGCAAGTTTTTGCAGTATGTTCCATTTGCAATAATGATTACTTTTTTCTTCTTTTACAGAATTACAGAGTAGTTCTTGTGGTAATCCTGGAGTTCCACCCAAAGGTGTTCTGTACGGAACAAGGTTTGATGTTGGGGACAAAATTCGATACAGCTGTGTGACAGGATACATCCTGGATGGTCACCCCCAGCTCACCTGTATAGCCAATTCAGTAAACACAGCATCCTGGGATTTTCCAGTTCCTATCTGCAGAGGTAAGAGGAAAGTGTCATATTCAGGCAAAGCGAGGCATCTTAAGTGTCAGTTTTAAGGACACGTATTCACTATATGTAAAACATATTACACACGTTATTATTTTACATTGAGCCTTCGTTTTGGGTTACTGTATGATTTTAAATGGATACTTTCAAAGAATTTAGTGTGAATATTTTCTTTATTGTGTATTCTGATCATGCTCTACTGTTTCCCTAAACTCTTCTTAACTCTAGTGCCTGTTAGACATGGGAGCTTTGTATTTGTGTCCTGAGGGATACGAATACAAAGCTCAGCACCACAGGTGCCACGGCGGTCCATTTCTGCCCCCCATAACCATCCTGGTCCACTCACAAGGCTCCTCGCGCTGTATGATACCCAATGGTGGCAACATTGCATCAATTGTGAATGTAGTTCTGCCAGTGCTGCCCCACCTCTCCCATTAGCTGATCAATCAGCAGCTGAGTGGGGAGACTTGTTTTCCTATCTCCTTGCCAGAACAGTTGGCTGTGGGATACAAATATGAAGCTCCTGTGTCTAGTGCCAATGATAGCTTATTCCAGCAAAGAAAAATGAGTGGGTGAGGTGGAAAGGTGTTACCATATTAAACTAATGGAAGGGCTTCATCAAAATATGCTAATATTTCCAGAATATACCTTTTAAATCTCATAGCTGGCTTTATAGTTCATCCTTCTGAACCAATGTAGAATACTGGGGTGTGGGGTGGGAATCGTGCTTTAGAAAGTGTCTTCTCCTTGAAATTGGGATAGATTCAAAAGTCTTATCTGTAGCCGATCATTTATTTTAAATAATATGCAGTAGTAGAAATCAAATCTTTATTGTACAGCTCCATTTTTTTCTTTTATAGCACCTTGCCTATATCTCTGAAATAGGTGGCTCTTATAAAGCGTACTGTGCTGAAATGAATGAAATATTTGCTGCTTCGGCAGGAAAAAAGAGTTCCCCAGGAACACAATCATATTAAGAATCAGGCACTTGAGCTGAATGTCTAAACATCTTAGAATTAGTTTCTTATTGCAATGAGAAAAGGTAGTAAAGAAAAACACTATTTGCTGGGGCAAAACATGATGCTGGAACAGCAAGAGGCGATTCTCCCTTCAAGTCAAGGTGCACAGTGTTCAAGGCCAGCCAAGTTATTTTGGCACTTGAGGCAGAAAAGCTTATTAACACCTCTTTGGGCTGTTAAATGCAATAAAATTCAATTGAATAACTGGCAGTACGGTACCTTGTCATGACACCTTACCTAAAGACTGTCTGAGATAAGTATGATTAACAGCAGGGGCATCTTTGCATCTTCTGCATTGGCGGGCTTTAGTAAATGGTTTGTAATATTAGGAATTTGGTTATTCCTTTAGTTAACAGAACATAAACAAAACAAAACACAAAAATGTGAGCGATCAGCCGAGTCTCATTGGTCCTCGTTGGAACATAAATCCAATCCTTATGTATTAAAATGTCATTCTAGAAGCATCTTTAAGTAAATTTACTCACAGTTAACATTTGTAGTTGTAGAATGGGTAGCTGTTTTAGTCTGTGCAAGCATTAGAGGTGAAAACAAAATAAAAATAAAAAGGCCAAAGTTTTGGTGGCACCTTAAAGACTAACTTATATATTATTCATGTGGACAAGGCCACTTCATCAGACATAAGAGAAGGAGATATAACATGGCAAATATCTGTACATGATATCAAGGTATAGATACTGAAATACAGAGATTGTGGTTGGTTATTAAGAAAGTCAGTGGGTGTGATGGCTGTGTCTTTATAGTAGAAGCTTTGTGCTGTAAAGAATGTGGTATCTGTACATGATATCAAGGTATAGATATTGAAATACAGAGATTGTGGTTGGCTATTCAGAAAGTCAGTGGGTGTGACGGCTGTGTCTTTATAGTGCTGTAAAGAATGTGTCAACATTTGTAGTTACAGTTAGAATAAAAAAGGGAGTAAGAATGGAATATCTGGCCCCCAAGAGTCCCTGCCGGGTTGCTTCTCTAATTGGGGGTGGTGGTCCAGAGGTAGAAGAAGAAAACAAAACAACCAAACAACAACAACCAGATGCAAGGCAGATAGGAAGAAGGGACTGACTCCAATTCTAAAGGCATGAAAAAAAAAACCTTTACAAATCAAGTTAGTGGCAAAGGCCTGTCACTTTAGGCTATAAATCCCCTCCCGCTGATACCCAGTGTTAGTGCACATAATATTGCAATTTTTCTGACATCCTGTGTCTTACTTTGTTCTTGTTTGCAACATATTCAGTGGCCAGTGCTATTTTTCTGTGCCAGGCATATTGTGCTTCTGCCTATCTTTGCTTTTTTTAATGACACATACATCTGAATTCAACGTGATTTAACAAAAAAAAATTTGGTGTCAATCCTTAGGCTAGACTTTGCCTTTAAGAGCTGAGACTTGGCATGTTTATCTTGCTAACTGTTGGGTTTTGGCCTACAAAACAATACAAAACCCACTGCAATCTTGTTTTCTTTTTAATTTGGAAGGACTGCTGTGGACAGGTGCCAAAGGGAAAGAAAATTAAAACATGTACATCTAGCAAATAAAACAAATCAGTTTAGAACATTATAGTTAAGAAAACATAACAATATGCTGATGTGAGCTATCCATAAGTGAGTAACAGTAAACGATATTCTGGGACCCAGAACATCATCTTGTCAGTGTTCACTTAAGAATGGCATCAGCATGTCATTAGATTCACTCTTTTAAAAAATAGCACGTTAAATTTTGCAAATAACAGTAATAATAATGCAGCAAGTACAGATCCCCAGTCGTTTCAGTACTCAAGATGTATATACCTGAATCTAAGGAAGCTGATAAAACCCATTTTTATCAGGTTTCTTGCTGTTCTGAATGGCACAGTTTTATTCATACAGTGGGTAGCTTTCCTAGTAGGATAGTAAAGGCAATTTATTCCATAATGACCTACTGATTACTTTCCCCTAGATTCTGGTGGAGATGCTCCTTGATTACATTACTATCCTTAGGTAGTGCCATTTGTCATTGTCTTAAAAATCCTTACGAGTGCCCTTCAGTTCCAGGAAAGAGAATCCTTGCTGTTGCATTAAGCCTTCTTTCTGTTTTTTCCATGAACTCCTGTGTCTGCTTCAGCTAAAGGGCAATATTCCCAAGTTTTCAGATGGCTACCGGTACCTGCAATCTAATAAATAGGTTTTGATTGTTAAAAGTACAGAAAATCTTCTCAGACCTAAGTGTAACAACATTTTCGCTGTATCCATCACAGTGAAATTGCCAAATATGCAGCAAACTCAACACAAACTAAGAAAAACTGCTTTTACTGCTTTGAATTGATTATTCTGTATGGCGGACTGACATTACAATGATGCTATGTCTGTATGGGTTTTCGATGACTATATGTTTATCGGCACAGCTGATAATGTTGTCATTTGCAGCTTCCCAGCTTTCATCTCAGGGGTCACTGCCAAGTTAAAGGTGTTACTTGAGTGTTAGATCCACATATTTAATAATTTCAAGTCTGTCATGTCCATTTCTTTCCAGGTTCTTCTAGTTACAGAGTAGGTCACTAGTGGTTTACCATACTCTACTTCTTGCGGTGCTTGAGAGTTGTGCAGTTTGCTCAAGACTGCACAGGCTGGCTCTTGCCCTGGAAGGCACAGCAGGAAATCAAACTTCCAGTCTCTGGCTCCGCAAGAAGATGCACAATTCACTATCCAGCCAGCTATATGCTTTGCAATAATCAGTCTGTCAATGTTTTGAATGCTAGACAGTTCTAACCCAAGTCATTTGGGGTTATGCACATCAAACCCAGCGCTCTGGGGGATTGGTCTTGTTAGAAATATTAGGAAAAACTGTAGGTATTCCCAAATAGGATGTCAGCAGTTCAAACTACACCTTCTAAGCTGTACAGTGGCACCTCGCTTAACGACAATAATCCGTTCCAGGAAAATCACCGTTAAGCAAAAACATCGTAAAGCAAAATAAAAAACCCCATTGAAACGCATTGAAACCCGTTCAATGCCTTCCAATGGGGTAAAAACTCACTATCCAGTGAAGATCCTCCATACGGCGGCCATTTTCGCTGCCTGTATAGCGAGGAATCCGTCCCTAAACACAGCAGGGAGCCATTTTAATTACTCGGTGGCCATTTTGAAACCACCGATCAGCTGTTAGAATAACATCGTTTTGTGAAGAATCGGTTCCCGAAGCAGGGGACCGATCATCGCAAAGCAAAATTCCCCTATTTAGACCAGCGTTTTGCGATCGCAATTGCAATCAAAAAAAGATTGTCGTAAAGCAGATTCGTCGTAATGCAGGGCAATCGTAAAGCGAGGCACCACTGTACTGGGATTTGGGGTGAAGCGGGAGGAAGCCAGTGCCACTTGCCCTTGATGCCAGAATTGCTGAAGCTTGCCCCCTCTTTCCATATGACTGTGAGGTACCTCACAGAGTACGAATATGAACACCCAGAGGTTGCTAGGAAGAAGAGTGGGATAAAATGCGATGGCTGAAGAAATATCAACATTTGAGATTTATTTTACATTGTTGCTGCCTATTTTCAGATTAGTATACCCAATATCCAATGCCATAATGATAATGAAGTTATTAATAAGCAGTTCTGTTGTCATAAGGAAATGATAAATTATTAAGTCTTCTTCTTACCAGTTCTGCTCCAACTGTCGGTATTCATTAAATAATGTAATCTTATTGAATTTATTGGAAACATAGACACACATGCACACACAAAGTTTAAATGAAAGTAGAACAATTTAGATTTATGTGTTGTGAAGTGGTCAATTACGCTGTGCATAGCCCATGACCAGTTTTTAAATACATTTTTCTCTCCTGACATATTAATTTTGATTGGGGCATTTTGGACAGTGAAACATGACAGCAGCTTTATCATATCCCTTCTTTTGTGATGGTGTAGACATTACAGACTGCAACATACTGCAGAGTGGAGGAGATGATTCACAGAAGGCTAATAAATAAGG